TGTCATGTTTTAGATTGAAAACTGATATACTTCCCATTGATAATCTTTAATATAAAAACAAAGTGAACTTTTACACTAATATACAAGTTGGCAGGAGAAAGAAAGTAAGAAATTATCTAATTCACCTAGCATCTAGTAGAAATATTCCTTGGCATTGGTAGGTAAATCTTCTCGAAAACCTAAACCTTTGACGAACTGAACTACCCATGCATGGGAAGTTAACTCCATGGCAATTGATTCTTCTCGATGAATCGGAGTACAATCAGCAAAGTCCTGAGAACCTTTGATCAAATGAAATAACACTTTTGAGTTTTTCACTCTACTGGAAGAGCAATACCTATTTGCTAACATATTTTCATTTGTCATTGTGCTAGGTCTGTACAGTTTATTTGTTCAGATCAGACCAAATAATTAGATTCAGCAATTGGCAAATGAAGCATGTCAAGAGTAGATCGATACTTTCTGACTGGTACATTTTGCAGATACTAGACCGTATCTAAGTGAAATAAAGGTTGATTGAAAAAAAAATTAGTATGCAAAGTTGTTTGAGTAGGATGCTCTGAATATGTTGTTTGTGTTATTATTATCACTGTTAGTGTTATTTGCTGTTTATTTGCTGTTACTATTCTCATCTTCATTGTTGTTGCTTCTGTTACTGCTGCTGACCCATTGATTTCAGATAGCTATATTGGTTTTTATCCCCTGTCTCTAATCTTTCCCCTTAGCTCCTCTTTCCGTACTTCTCCATCTCCTTCTTCTAAATAGTTGATATTCTGTATCTTCTTTCTTATCAATAAATTCCTTGGGCACAATGGCCTGGTTATTTGGAATAAAAAAGAGGCAACAGACTGGTAGGGCTATGAATAAGCTACCCATTTGATGTTCAGATGGATCAGAACATTTGAATTTAATGTTTATCCTTAAAGAGTTATATCAATCAATATAAGCTAGTTGTTGCTAAGCCCAAAAAGTAGTGCTTTTACACCAAAAAAAAAATTGCAAACACATATTTGTGGACATTGAAAGGGAACTATTGCAAAAGTTATAAACCCTGTAAATTGAGGTGACTGTGTATGATCTGCCATACATAAAATGTTAGTTTTGCACCGGTTTGATTTTAGTCACATGTCTAAATCATGTAATATAGGTATATTTCCATGTCAGATATTTACCAAACGTTGCATTCAAGTCGCACTTACTTTTGTTTGATCTCTCCTTGTCTAGCAAATCCTACGGAAAACAAGTACAATTTGCATTTTATGTTTTCTAAACAAGTCTGATTTGTATTTTGGTGTGATGAAAGAGAAAATAAAATTATTTTCAATTTTAGTTTGTCCCTATTATCATACCTTCTTCCTCCACATCCACCAGCCCTATGACAGTTGAAGTATAGAGCAGCAGCAGGTTGCCCAAGATCATGAATTGCTGCAAAGTCTCTAGTATTGAAGTTTTGACGCCAACCAGGTGCATACACAGTTTGCTGAACTTCCTGCCGGAATAACACAAAGACAATACGATGAATCCCTGTTGGAGTTTGTGGGCTCTCATAAGGGACTATCTCATTTCCTGGTCATATTAATGAAAGTTTAGTGTCAGTTTTATGTCCACGAGCATTTTGTTTGTAGATTCAAAAATTGTTACCAAGGTCACTTTCTATTTCTAAACCTTATGATAATTGATGGGAGTTGAGTCATAGATTGATCATGCAGTTATTTTATACACTAGAAGTACTTGCTCTGCCATAGGACATGTATACACTAGAAGTACTTCCTCCGACATAGGTCTTGACTCTGATGCTTGCTGCATTAGTTATTACTTGAGTTGTATGATTTCTGGCTGGGAGGGAAGAAACTGGAAGAAAATTGTTACATCAACATGATAAAGTATCTCTGCAGACCATTAAAATGTGCTAATTAATTTACCCGGTTGTAGTTATTTGAATTACTCTAGTAGGAATTTTGAGATGTATTATCAGTTTATAGGATATGAACCTTCAATATCATCACATTCTCAGCCTTTCTTCCTGTAATAAACGTGCTTTAGGCGTGGAGAAAAAAGAACCAGAAAAAAAATTGACAAGTTTTTATGGCCAGTAACGTCATCTTTATGAGATAGTGTGTCCTTACTACCCACATCATCAAGAACACGAGAACGCTGTTGTAAGCCCACAAATAGACATAAACGTCTCTAGATCTATTCAATTGTAAACTAGGATTCCCTTGCATTCCCTGCCTTACTGGGCTGTCATGAAGCTTTTCTTAATCAAGCTTGTCTATTTTACTTTCTTTAAGCTTATGAGCAGTTCATGCTCATCAGAGTAAAAGTTTAACTGGAAAATGTGTGTTATCTCTTGCATGTGATGGGAATGCTTCCTTTTTCTTTTTAAGGAACTAAAGGCACACTAACTTGCATGTGGAAGTCATAGGAGCGATACTCTGGGTAACCTAAGAGTGAAGTTATTGGAATGCCGCAGGATATGCAAAGAACTCCTGGAAAAATAGTTGGAACAATAACAAGTGGCATTGGCACGGGAACTTTAGTCCTCACCACATAAGAGAATCATGTAACTTTCTATCTGACCAATTATTTTCTGTTTCTTGTTATTCTCTGCTTATGCAACTTGTGGTATTCTTGCTATCAAGTATAAATAATGCCTAGGCAGTGCAAAAAGTTTGTACAAATGACTAAACTGGCGCAGCTTGATGAAAATTGGACGATATGACTCAGAAAAATTCAAGCTTATCTTTAGATATTGGGGTGCTCCATTTGAAATTTGTGCTGCTTGTACTCATGTTGTTATAGGTCGAGCTTATGAAGCTTCTCTTTAGCTTTATACTAGGGCAGCTCTCTAAGTGCATCGGTCATAATGTGTAGTGTGAAAGAAACTTTGGTTATTATGTTTGAGCTGATCAAGCTATAAGTTGGTTTATTTCCATAAAAAATTCAAAATGGTTCAAACTTTTGAATAAATAAAGTTGGTTAATTTTGTATTCTTTATAATTGTCATTTCTCTTTTGACATTGAAAAGGTGGTTCTACTCAGCCTAACCTTTAACGGGCAATAATTATCAAGTATGAAACAGAAGAATCAGTAGATATATGGTTAAAAGAAAGAAGAATAGAAGAATAAACTAAAGGTCGCGCCCAAAATGCAATCAGGTTGCACCTCATGCTGTTGTTCGTGCCACTGAGCATTGCCCCTATGGCGTTTTTTATCTTCTACAGAGAAATGGTATACAAGAAACCTGCATTAGGACCTTTTACAATATGACCCGGTTTGTGAGAATACAGGTTCATGATCTAAAATCATGTGAAGTGGATACAGTGCTTTTGGCAATTTACATACAGCCTGAACAGTGCAGTTGAAATCAGACAAAAAACTTACAGTTTTTTGGTCCTTTGATGTGAAATCATGTGTTCCAACTTTCTAGTTTGGTCTACAAAATAGTATTGTGTAATAGTATCACATGGCATAGGTACTACATGATCATCCATTCACCTCATATTCAGATGGGTTCATTCTAAATAGTAAGGATGCATGTCTCTGGCGGTGGAAGGAAGACAACCCCCGTCGAGCTGCTTTATCCTTTGGCTAGGACCTGCATCAAAAATAGTTGGGGAATCACACATAAGTGATGGGGCTATAACCCCTTCCTTGCATATGCATCTTGCATATGCTTTATATGACTGCAAAGACTTAAGGGTTCTTTTTTTCCACTGTTTTAAATTACTTTCATTATCAAGCATCAACCATATGTCAACCTTCAACCTTCAACCTTGTCACCCGGGTTTAGGTCTGGCATAGGTGGCTGATGCTTGCAAATTTAGTTCTTTGCATGCAGAGTTGTGATCTTCCATTTTATTCCAGTATAGTTGCTTAAAGTATTGTTTTCTCCTAAAAATGTGCTTGCTTACATTATCTTACTGTGACATCTATTAGTCTTGTGAACGTATCTTCAAATTTCATGTCAACTTTCATATGTTGCATCAATTAATGCTTTCATAACTTATGGTGCTCATCGAGTTTTCATATAATATGTGTTGCAGCAAAACATTTCAAGATACCACTCATATCAATAAGCATTAAGCCAGTGTCTCCACTAGATAGATTTGGCTCTATGTTGTTTGACATTAGAAAAATGTGGCACTATGCCCTTTAAATATTAAGCCGTATCTTAGATTCAGTTTTCAGACATGACATACATTATTAACATTGCTAGTCTGTGAATTAATCAGTTGGTTGGCCAATGGTTCAAATTCCATAAACTGCTAATTTTAAATATCTGTGGTGTTTTATAAATTTTGGAGGATAGTGAGTTAGCCATCAGGTTGACGGCCAGTATTGGTTAATGGAAGTTTGGTATTAGAAGCACATTATTCTGTAATAACGAATCCAATATGCCGACCTTTCATGTTCAGACCTAACGAGTTGAAGATAATGGATATTTCATCGAGGAAAACTTTTTATAACTAAAGAATGAAAACCATTACGGAAAACTATTACTTGGATAATTTTATGCCTCTTGTCAAAAAAATACCACGTAAACATTCATAAAAAATTAGTGTCCGACAGGGGATGTCACCAAACAACACAAACAAGTGATTCTTGCAGTCAGCCTTATATTTTTCGTATGACCCAAGTTACTACTTACTAAAATACATTTTGGATACTATTTAGACAGTTTGGTATGAAGCTGAATCCACATCTTTGTTCTTAGATTAATTAGTAAATCCACATGAACCATAATAAGGGAATCATATATTCACACTCCATTGTCCTAAATATAAAGAAATATATGATAAAGTTGAAGTTTTGAAAATTACCCACCATGACTTGCATCCACTGTTTCTGGTATATCTGTCACCAACCTTAAAATCAATCAGAGATTGGTCAGTATTGTTAGCACATAAAATTTTACCTAGGTTTCATATAGCATCCCGAAAATCCTATTATCTACAAGATAAATCTAGCAGGGCAAATGTTGATGGATGCATCCTTTAATTTTATGATTCCATTGATCAAGATATTCTCCAGTAGATAATACAAATTTGCAGTAACACGCATATGCTTGATAGGGGACTACTGAAAGGAACACATAATTTGCTTTCTTTCTATGATACAGGAATGTTTCACACATATATGATATCAACTCTCTGAGTATGAAATCTTTTGTAGCCATATATACATCTGAAAATAGTTGATTCCTTGAGTTCCATTATCTTCTTTATTATAGTCTCAAAAGAAAGTTATATGCATGAAACTGCATGTTGTTAGCAGTTAAGAATAGAGTGAGCTCACCAGTGTAAATACTCTCTGTGCGTAGGATTTGTTGGGGTTGGCGCGTCAGGATTTACCATCACCTTGTTTAGAGAAATACTATTTGTCATTGAAAGTTTGTTTTAAAAAAATGCATAAGAGAATATCTAATAGGAGTTGTTATTCATCTATTGGAGATACAGGAAAATACAATCCACTGTAACATTGAGTCATGAGCAAGTTGTAGATTGAGAAGCCTGAATGTATCTTTAGTCTGGTTTCTTTTAATTTTTACCTTTATTCACTACTTATTTCTTTTTCCTAGAATGAAATCAAAATGGTAATCCCAGAAAGATGTTTATGTAAAGAAAATAATAAAAATAAATTTTTTTTCTAAGATTTGTCGAGCATTGAGTGGGGTATCATGTGGATCTGCCACCCTCACTCTTTGTGTGTGTGTGTGTGTGTGCGTGCATGTCTTGGTCTTATGGGGGAGTGAGACGAGCAAAAATTATAAGCAAGTGGTTAATAACTGTGGCCTCTATCTAAAGCTTTGCAAATCTGTGCCTATTCAAAATGCTTATTATGCAAACAGAACATAGAAAATGTATGAAACGTTTTATTGGCTTTGAGACAGTCTGATTCAGGATTTATGATTCTATTTTACGGCCAGAGAGTAAAGGTTTGATATATATTTTCATTTTCTTTGTTATGTTAACCACCATGACTGATCTTTCCTTTTCGCCGTGGGTCAATTTTGGTTTAAACTGAACCATCTTTCTCCTTTACTTATTTGAAGACTGAACTTAATTAATAAAAACTAGTTCAAGCCTGAGAAGGAATAAGTATTTACTATATATTTCTGTATTACTTACTTCTAGTTGTAGCGAAGACTTTTCCAATATTTTCTATTCACTCTCATACAGATTACCAAATTATAAGCTGTGGGGCCTAAGTTAACTCTGAAAGCTTAAAGATTTCTTATTTCTGTTCCATTTTCCTAATGTTATTGCTATTTCTTTGGAATTCTCTTTTCATAGAATAACTTAGCCATTAGGTTAAACGCGCTTAGTCTCTCTTTTTATTACTAATCTATATGCACATGTGAGGAACTGAAGCTTGAAATGTAATGCCGAAACTTTGTTTGATTAAAAGTAATTAATTATACGGATGCCCTCTATAGTTCTATTAATAAGTTCTCCTACTTAATAGTGGCATTTCTTCTTGATTATCTTGATTTATTCTTTTTGGGGGATATGTGCTACCTTTCTATGGTGCCTCAGGGGTGTGTGATTCCCTATACAAATGTCAGGGTGTATGCAGAGCTAAAATGTCTGCACGAATGAGGTAATATTTCCAACCCTCCAACTTAACTTCTAGGATTTGTAGTGAGACTTCTTTTGCCAATAGTTTCCTTTGCCAAAGAATGTAGTCATCGACATAAAGGGTATATTGGGTCAATAGTCAATCTGAAAATTTCCTTGGAACCTTATGCTTCTAGATGGTGTGAATCTGATGATTTCTTCATTTCTTTTAATGGATTGGTAATGTTCTCCATCTGAAATAATGCTTCTTCATTGCATACCCATTTCAGCTATGTGAAACCTGCTTCCTACATGTTGACTTTGACTCCTACGTTTATTTGTGAAGCCTGCTTCCCAGTGTGCTACTTTTATTTTTCTTATGATGTGTCCATATAAATTTTAACTTAGGTTGACATCAGAAATGTGATACTTATAATTTTGTATCTAATCTCTATTGCTTGTTATTTCTTCTGTTCTACAATCTGTAAACCATATGTTATACTTGCATCCAAGCACTCCATGCACATACACATTTGCACGCACACACATGACACCACAAATTAAACACATGCCTGATCAATAAACAACAAAAGAAGTTCCTCTTCAAGGCATGTTATTAATATCTTAAATTGCAAATTTTTAAGCTGTTCATATATAATTCACCCATCTGAACATGTATATCCTGCACAATATTTGTGCACTTATGTAGCATATACCATATACCATGCTGATAAGGATATTAAAAGTTTCATGACCAAAAATATTTCAGTTTTGAACTATAGTAGGCAACTTTGTGTTCTTTCTCTTACATGGCGGATTCTTAGTTGGCATTAGATGGCACCATAAGCTGATCATGTGGAGATTAGTGGAGTTGCTCTAGGTTGAGCATTAGAACCCAAGATTGCAAGTAACACTCAGTCACTCGAAAATCAATCGTCCGTGTCCATGAACTAATGCTGGTATATTTACTTTAAAGTGCCACAGTTAGAAGGGCCATCCTAATTTCTTATTGCCTTTATAGGGCATTGTCTTTTGGTGGTCAAACAGTGATGCTAGCTCATGTTGAAAAGTTCATGCATAAGATAAACAAAGAAAAATGAAGCAAGGTTGCAACTTACAACAGTGTAGAGTGTGCTTGCATCGCGTCCTTCGATTGTGACACGTGGTGGACTTGCCACATCTATCTGCCGAAGCCTTGTCCCGTTAGTTACTTCCTTATCACCAAACACAACTCTCATACTTGCAGACTTGACGAATGGATCCACAACATCCCCAATGATTTGTCCTAGCACTAGAGGATCCCTCGGTGTTCTATCCCGAGACATACTTTCAATTTGCAAAAGAACTAAGAACTTCGAATTAAGTTCTGGTGGGAAGAGGTGAGAGAAAATGAGGAATGGCTGCTGATATTTATATGAGAGATAAATTGGCAAGGCATCCACTTTATTTTAGCAACATGCCAGAGACTTTTGCCGCCAACTTCTTCAGAGGCTTGGAATCTACTTTCTACTTTCACCTTTACACAGGAGAACAATGTCATGCATATGAGCCTCCCCCTTTCGAGCCTTCACAAAGTCAAGTTGTTGTTGATTATTTCCCAAAAAGGGGGTTTTGCTTATATACTCTCCGTAACTATTATATTTGCAGATTTACCCTCAAATTTTGACTATTTGCTAATTTATGCTACATTATCCCACATTAGGGAGAGAGTGTGTGTAGAAAGAGGAGAGAGGGTGATGTGGGGAAGGGCGGTCACTGCGTCCGCTTCCTCTCTCTTTTTTGTAACAGAGGGGTATTTTATCATTTAGACCCCTTCTCCCAACCTTTTGGATATTTATTGGTGTTATAAGGAGTAGAAAATTCCGATGTTGGAGAATGCTCGGCAAATTAGCAGATATGTAGATTTTGGTGGTAAATGTCCAAATAGGATAGATTTGGGAGGTGTATAAGCAAAATCCCTTCTCGTATATTCTTATTATTTATAATTTAAGTTTAGGTGGATGAATAACGGATAAATTTTTTGAACTTTTAAATCAGCTCAGCCTTCCCCAAATGGTACCCTGCCCAGTTTATTCTGACTCCTGAATTGTGGCTGTTGATGGGAATAAATTGTTGGATCGACGTGGGAGTAATGGTCGAAGGGGTGTCCTCGTCACTCTATATGCCTGGTTAGCACTCAACCCTACCAAAGATTCTGAGCTTCACATCATAGATAAGGGATAGGGAGATAGATAGACATTGTTCTGGCTAACATTGATCTCGCTTTTTGTGATTTTGGAATCGTAGAGCATCAAGTGCCTAACTTTAAGGAGTAGTGACCATTAGTATATATACAATGGAAATGAAAACAAAAACATGGCGCCAGAATGAGCTTGAATCTTTAAGCAGTGCTTAGGGGGTATGTCTGCACGCTTAAGACACGGGCATCAAGAGCATCAATGTGGACCAACCCATGCACAAAGTCACGTAGCTTCAGAATTTTGCGAGCATTTTGCGAGCAAGGAGGAAGGCTAAAAGTTTGCCTTAAAATATCGGTCTCGTGTGATGTTAATGTTTATGATGCCGACAGAAAGAAGCCTGTACGGAGGTGTAGCTAGTTGTAGAAGGGAAAAGTTTTGCTTTCTCTTGATTAATATGTCTTTTGACCCTTTGAGAGCTCAATTCTTAAGACTTTTGTGATATCATAGATGCAGAAGGGATTACAGACTGAGAAGCTGAAGTCAAAACCGGTGGGAATAAATGTTTACTTAGAGAAGATGGAGAAGAGAGGAGCTTTTTGCTAGAGTTTTTTGAGGCGTGCAATTTGTGAAGCTCTGAGGTCGCAAGTTAGATTTAGTAGGCAGGTAGAATATTGTTATACGGCTACTTCAGAGGTTATTTTAGCATTCGAATTAACTTATCGTATTATTGTGAAATTCCTATCAAGAGAATGACAAAAAGAATTGCATAATGATGATAAAAAGAATCACATAATGGAGCTGCAGTATAATTCTCCAGTACGAGTGAAAGTGAAAGGAAAAAAGTTACTAAACTTGATGGCTCTTGAGTACTAGCTTCCTTGTTGTGGATGAGGTTTTCATCTTTGTGGGATCATCAATTTTTGCGTAAAGATGTATTTTGAGTATTATTGAATCAGCATAATTACCTTTGATGTTTTGGAATTAAGAAAATGGGTATGTAGCAGTTTATTTAACTAAACAAGCTACTGAAAGATAAACTAGTAATGATGTTCATCTCGTTACTTGTATCGGAGCAGGTGGATTTCACTACTCCTCTATCATTATTTTGAGCATACTGTCATGCAGTTTCATGTTGCAAATAAAACCCTTGGGGTTTTTTTATTACTCTTTGACCCTTAGGTAGACTCACTAATTTCACCATTATCTGCTTAAATTTCACCAAGGGTAGAAGCATTAAAAAATTTAACTTAGAGGGTCTATCAGCAATGAAACTATGGGGGTAGTAATTTCAAAATGTTGATAATACAAGGCTTCTATATGCAATTGACCTTTTTCTAAAATAAATTTAAAAAACCCGTTTTGTAACTCATCGTTGCCCTCTTATTATGTAACACACACATTTAACGCTGAAGCTATTTAACTCAGAAAAAACACATTGTATTGTGTTCAATGTGCATTACAATATATAACCAGTTAACACGGGTTATTTTAGTTTAAATTGCATTTCTAATTAGGATGCGTGGATGCATCTCCACCATCCGAATCATTTAAACATACCCCTTTCAGTCCTGATCACCCTATTCTCTTCCTAAAATTACGATCTCTTCACCTCCTCCAATGCAAACCTTTAACTTCTTGCCTCCTCTGAAACTCCGTCGGCTATCAGCGGCTTCTGCGATTCCGGTGAGATAAATTTTTTATTTTTCAGTTATGGACATCTCAGGTTATATCCTTTAAACAAATAGTGATTTTAAAATTAAATTCCAAATTCCAATATTTTCTATTGCCAATTTACCCTAAATCATATCAAACTTCTTTCTCTATTGCTTTACCCTTCAACATAATATTTTAAGATCTACCACAGAATTAGTGTACAGTGATTAATTTGTTGGTTAATTGTGTTAGTGAGATAATTACTTTTAGTTATTTCTTGATTTTGATTAGGTTTTAGTTTTTAATTTTCAGCTAATACTAAATTTTGGGAAATTAAGTTTGCACACAATCTCTATATATAATTTCTTACTATCGTTACATAGTCATGTTTAGTTTGGTTGATTTAGAGAACTTAATTAGGAATTAGAATATTCTTGTAAAGTTTTTTTTTTTTTGTCAATGAAAAAATGCTTTATTCATTTACCAAATATATGGAATTTATGTACATCACAGTCTCCAATTGAGAAAACAGAGCTTCTAACAGAAAGCTATCTACTTACAAGGATATTATCCAATCCCTATATTCATCTAAGATAGAACTATTTAGGCAAATAGTTAAGATATCAAATTTGATATTCTTAACCAAATGAGCAGCACCTGTAACTCCTTTTTGAAAAAATCTGTTATTCCTTTCTATCCACAATCTGTACACAGTAGCCGCAAGAGCCAACCTCCTAACATTTGTTTTGAATCCATTCCCCCTTCGTCTGGTGTAAAACCAATTCATGAGCAATTCCCATTCACAAGATTGCCAAGTCATTCTAAGCCAGTCCATGATGGCTAACCACACCTCTCTTGAAAATGGACAATCAAAGAACAAATGATTTCTTGTTTCAGAGGCAGTTCCTGCACATAGTAGGCATATATTTGAATTAATGGTTCCTCTTCTCATCAACCTATCCTGTGTGAGTAATCTGTTCTGCACAGCAAGCCACAGAACAAATGTGTGCTTCGGATAATTCAGCTTTCCCCATACTGTGTTGTACCAAGGAACAATGTGTGAACCAGGGGAGAAAACAGAGTAAACTGCAGATAACTGCAATTTAGAATCTTTATAGCAAGCACTGAGAGTCTTCTTCAAGTTGTCAATCCCTCCAGTAGCAGCCACAGCTCTGTCCCTACACTTGATCAGCTGCTTCCACATCCAAGAATTCTCTTTTTTAGACTTTACGTGCCATATATCCCAATGTTTTAAATAATTCCCATGGATCCATTTCACCCATAAACTTTCCTTGTTAACATGTATATACCATAGGCTCCTTAATGCTGAAGATAGATTCCAAATAGAAGCAGAGAAAACTCCCAACCCACCCTGTTTTTTCCGATAATAAACTTTATCCCATGAGACCAATGGGATTCTGAAAGTAGTATCAGACTTCCCCCATAAGAATTTCCTGCACAGCTCATCTATCTATTGAGTGACTTTGACAGGAAGAACAAAATTGGTTGTCCAGTAATTTTGAACACCTAATATCTCACTTTTGATCACTTGAAGCCTTCCTGCATATGATAGATTACTATGTCTAAGCCACTTCTGAAACTGACCAGAGATTTTATCCAATAATGGGTTACAATCTATGAATGTTAACCTCTTACAGATGAGAGGTACACCCAAATACTTGAATGGAAGAGTCCCTTCAGAAAACCCCAGCATATTTGTAATTGCTGTTTTGGTATTTTCATTCACACCTCCAAAGTAAATTGAGCATTTGCTCAGGTTAGCTTCCAGACCAGTAGTAGCACTAAAATCCTTCACACAATGATAAAGTTTTTGGACTGAATATAAGTCTCCCTTGGCGAAAAGAAGCAGATCATCCGCAAATATTAGGTGGGATATTTTGAGCTTACCACACATAGGATGATATCTGAACAATTTATCTTCCTTTAAAAGCTCCAATTTCCTTGATAAGTATTCCATCCCCAAGATGAACAAATATGGAGAAAGGGGTTCTCCCTGCCTTAAGCCCTTCTTACCCTCAAAATAGCCATGAAGAGATCCATTTAGGGAAATAGAAAATCTAGGGGAAGAGATGCAAGCCAAAATCCATTTGACCATCACTCTAGGGAAACCCAGACCTTCAAGCATTTTCTTCAAAAAATTTCCAGTAAACCGTATCAAAGGCCTTTCTAATATCAATACTCAACATAACTCTTGGTGAAATCCCCTTCCTACTGTAGCTTTTAGCAAGCTCATGTGCCAAGGAGATTTTACTGGAAATTTGTCTACCTTTGACAAAAGCACTTTGAGCATCATTCACTATGCTCCCCAAGATTGGTCTAATCCTGTTAGCTAGAATTTTGGATATGAATTTATAGATGCAGTTACAGCAGGAAATAGGCCTATAATCAGAGGGAGAAACTGGGCATTTTATCTTAGGAATAAGAGTGATAGAGGTAGAGTTTACCATTCCCAGCATTTTACCATTTTTAAAGAATTCCTCAATAGCCAAAATCACCTCCTGTCCTATCACAGACCAGGCAGACTTATAGAAGGCAACCCCATACCCATCAGGTCCTGGTGCTTTATTTTCATCCATTGAGAATATTGCACTTTTTATTTCCTCTCTAGAAACAGGCTTGGAAAGCATGTCAACTTGAGCAACAGTTAAACATGGCCCTGTCTGAATGACATGAGTGTCTGGAGTGATAGTTTCTGTATCTGACCCCAATAGGTCCTTGTAGTATAACACCATTTCCTTAGCTATTTCCTCTTGATCAGAAATTCTCTGACCTAAGGCATTGAATAGAGTCAGCACCTTATTCTGATGACAATTAGCTTTGATCCTGGAGTGGAAGAAGTTAGTGCACCTATCCCCTTGAATACTCCAATTAATTCTAGCTTTTTGCTGCAGAAAAGATAGTTCACAATCCAAAAGTTTATTGTAATTTGCAATGCATTCCCTTTCATTTTTAATTAACTCTGGGTTGAGAGGGGAATTTTGGAGCCTGCCCTGAGCTTCTTCAAGAGCCCTTCTAGCTCTCAGAACCTGCTCACTGATATTAGCATAATGCCTCTTGTTTAATTCCTTAAGAGCTCCTCTCAGCAGCTGAAGCCTCTTACATACTGTATACATTTTAAACCCCTCTACTTTTGTCTGCCAAATAGCAGACACAACAGGAATAAAGGAGTCATGTTTAGACCACATTTTGAAATACCTGAAAGGTTTCTTTCCTTTTGAGCAATCCTCAAAAATTGTTACTAATGCAGGTGAGTGATCAGAGCAATTAGGGAGCAAGAACTCAACCTGACTAGCATTGTACTTAAGAAGCCATGTATCATTCACCAAAGCCCTATCCAGTTTACACCACACTCTAGAATCATGATCCTGCTTATTATTCCAAGTATAAAAGCATCCTCTTGTTTTAAGTTGATTTAGATGGCAATCTTCAATGAAATATCTGAAATCTTTAGTATCGGATTCAGAGACTATTGATCCTCCAATCTTCTCCTCACTGTTGATGACAGTGTTGAAATCCCCACATAGTAGCCATGGTTCATTCCTTATTGACTGTTGAGCAGACTTCAATTCATCCCATAACACCTTCCTAGCCTCCATTTGGTTAAAAGCATAGATTGATGTAATAATACATTCCATTCTGCCATCTAAGGAATTGACTTTGCATGTGACACTCTGATCAGATATATTGATGATTTGAACTCCAAACACATTTGAATCCCACATAATCAGAATTCTGGCTTTACTTTGATTGCTGGCATTGGATATCCAATTCCAGTTTCTAGCAATTCTCTGCACTGCACTCTGAATCCTATCACTTTTAATTTTTGTTTCAAGCAAGGCTATATAAGAAAGATGGTACTGAGATAAGAATTGCTTAACCATGTGTTGTTTAGAGGATTTGTTTAATCCTCTAATATTCCAAAATGATAGATTCATCATTGATCACCCCCTCCCCCTCTATCTAATGTAGAAGGATCAATATTCAAAGTATTTAGATAAGAGAAGGAGTTACCATGTATAATATCCTTATTCTTTTTACCATTTTGAACTTGAATCCATGGAGTATTCCCTTTTGTAGAGTAACCTAGACTCAGATTATCTTCTGGACATTTCTCTTTGACATGCACCACATGCACAGACCTGTGCACAGCCTGCTATCCAGAACTGGAGGCTTGAATTGCAGTCCTTATCCCATCCTCAGCAATCATCTCCTTGGAAAGCAGATGTGAATTATTAACATGTCCAAATATTTGTTCACCAGTATTAGCAAAGTGCACATGCTCAGCCTGTACACTGCTATCATGCACAGCAACTCCAATCAGACTAGAATTCCCCTTCTGAGAAACACTCCCCTGTTCATGAGTAGCATTCACATCCTTCTCAATATTTCCAGGTTTATGATTTTGACTTTGCTTAGGTATCCATCTCTGTGTTTTCACAAGTTTCCTACAAGTTTTTGTGTCATGCCCAACCTGCTTGCAAGTATCACACCACTTAGGTTTTAGCTCATAAATCACCTTCTGAGAATATTTTTTCCCTTTTGGGTCTTGAATGATGATCTGATCAGGTAGGGGAGATGGTAATTTAACCTCAACTAACACCCTCGCATAAGCCAAACGCTGTCTATTAGCAGTAAGTCTATCAGTTGCAATAGGACAACCTATAGTACTAACAATTTTAGAAATGCTCTTAGCATTCCAAAGGTTAAGCCTTAAAGATGGGAGTTGAATCCACATAGGATAAACACAATCCTTAATTTTGTCAATCTTCTCACCATTGGACCATTGCTTCAATAACAAAGGTCTTGAACCAAAAAAACCATGGCCCTTTACATAGAATCTCATTCATCTCATCAACATTCTTGAATTTGAACAGAAACAGTCCAGGTTTGAGAAGACAGACTTCTGGCAACAAATTTTTCCAAGTTTTCTACACATAACTTTCCATTGCTTTAAATTTGACATTCAGTCCCATTACTTGACCAATTAGAGAAGATTGCCAAATTAAAATATCCTCATTCCACTCTTTATCATCAAAAGAAACCGTATCTTTGTTTTCAGATGGAATATAGTTTAGATTCATCCCACTACCCAGTTTCCTATTATCTGAGAACAGACTAATCCAGCTTTTTCCAATTTTATCCTTTGTTTCATTTGAAATCAAGACTCCATCAGCTTTTCCATTAGGTGAGGCTCTCGTTTCTACATCTCTTTTACCAGAATTCAATATAGTAGAAGCTTCCTCTACAGCTTGATCTGTATTCAAAGAAAAAGGAGAATTCAACTGGAAATCCTCCTTATCCTTTCTTAGATCCACTTCATCTGCCCAGGAGACTCTAACCGAACTACTAGAACCAGTAGATTGCTTATTTCGGTCAAGAACTCCATTAGAATCAAGAAAACCAGAAAATTGACGCTTGCTGAGATCGCCATTAGATCCAGGAGATTTAAGAACACCTCCATTAGAATCAAGAAAACCAGAAAATTGACGCTTGCTGAGATCGCCATTAGATCCAGGAGATTTAAGCTTACTAAGATCAAGAACACCTTTAGATCTAGGAGATTGGAACTTACTAGAACCAGCATTGAGATCAAGAAATCCTAGTTGAACATCCATAGGTACTCGATCAAGAACACCTTTAGGTCCAGAAGATTTACTAGAGCCAGCAGAGAGATCAAGAACTCCAGATTGATTCACTGGAACTCTATCAACACGAACACACTGCAAATTGCTTGAATTCAGCACGTCAGCCATTGATCTAGATTTCTTTGCCCCTTTTGGACCAGTAGATCCCATCTCAATGAAAACTTCATCATCATCATCACTTCGGACATCAGAATGATCATCAGATGCCTCAGAAATCAGATTTGAGGCTCTCAATCCAATCTCTAATATCTTTTTCCCACTACTTTTCTTCTTCCTAGCCATCAGAAACTCAAAATTTTCTCCAAATTACCCGGCGGGAGCGCAAGATAGCATGACGAAAATCGCCCACTAACTTACGCTATCAGACCGCCCCTTGGTATCTATATATTCTTGTAAAGTTAAGAACTTGAGAGTTGGAAGTGTTTGGTTTATTTTAGACTTATTTGTATTGCCTTAAACTTGACAACGTTAACGTATTTGATCATTTGATGATGCTTTTTGGGATGGTTATTAGTCATATATGACCAACTTTTGTTAAGAATTTGTCATACTATATTATTATATTTGATAATTGTGATGTTATGTTTGAAAATTTTGATGATTATAAGTATTAAAGTTATTATGAATTGTTAGTACTTATAAAATATCTAAATAATTAATAAACAATATATTATATGTTATGTGTTATATTTTTTTGCACTTAACAAGAGGTCAAGCGTTACATAACCCATTTTCGTTGTTTTCAACATTGTCATATACATTTTCCTTCAGGGTTAATACTTAATTTTGATCATGAGTTCAAGTTTTTGTCCTAACACAATACTAATCTATGCTGCTGTATAACTTTTGTCTTTAGTTCTCACATGTAAATAGTGTCAGCACCCGACACTCAAGGTTAGAATAGCCAAGAGGGTCAGGCCAAGTTTGTAAGTTGCCTATGAGTAGTACACTAAGGTCTTAGATTCAACTCTCTTGAAGAGCACACACATGAAATTAATTTACTGAGATACCCGAGGTCGTGCGTTGAGGGGTGCCGTTTGGCCACACCCAGGGTTTGATGCCCATGGTCCAAAGGATCATGGGAAAGATCTCCCATCAAAAAAAAAAGTTAAAGTTTGGTAGGGCGGTGAATATAATCTTTCTTTTTATGATGCCCATTACTGGATCATGATCAGAGCCTTTCCCACGTTTGGTGAAGGGAGAAAAGCTGGTAATATTCCGAGCTCCTTAACGTTTCTCATATGGAATTCAGATTTCGGTTGAAGATTGACCTACCATAATATTTTCAGACTCTTTCTCCAAGAACTTAGAAGATCGCAACGTGCTGACTTCAAAGCCATGATTTGTCGACAGATTCAAGCAGCAGAAGTAGCGTGGTCGATGAAGATTTGGAACAAGATGTTCTGATGGAAGTTGGTTCGCCCCGTTGTAAATGACCGAAGCTGGTTGA